CTTCCATGTCTGCAGGGTCCCACCTGCCCTGCCTTTCCCTCTGGAGTCCATTCTTCACTCATGTCCTCTCACATACCTCCCGTAGAAACCTCACTCCTTCCTCCTTCCTTGCTACCTCCAGGACACCACTTGCAGCTCTCAGCTTTATTCTCTCCAGTCACACCTCACATCCCCCAAGGGCCAGGCCTTGCTGTTGGCACAGCAGAGCTTGAGAACAGCCAGTTGCTCACCACCAACAAAAAATGCCAATGGCTCCTCTACACCAGCATTCCCCTTCTTGCTCCCTCTGGGGGAGTGGGGACCAGGGAGTGGGTGCTGAGACCATAAGCATTGGCGCATCTCTGGCCAAAGATGCTGCTGCTTGCTGACAGTGGGTGCACCTTTCGGTTTATGTGGTATGTACCAAGTTCCACCTTGTGGCGACACTGAGAATGGGCTTCTCCACAAAGCCCGTGGCAGCATCAGCAAACCTTCTCTTCCTTACATTAGCTCTTCTTGCCCACTCTACTTTCCTTCCAGGGTGCTTGAGAGGTCTTGCTGAGCCAGAGCAGGGTGACTTTAAAGGTTCATATAGGAGGACTTCTGCCCAAGCATCCTGTTGCAGCTGTTCTTCAAATCACTGCCTAAAACCTTCGTCCTCTGGCATGCTGGCAAGAAACTATGGGCAGGTTTCTGGTGCACTGAGATCAGCACTGTCACCCTGCCCAATATTTCTCAGCCCCATTTTCTCTCTGTACCCTTTGACTGTTTCACCTTATCTGCAAGGTCTCTGAAAGGAGAATTGTCCCTTCTCCAGCTCTGCTCCAATCAGTCCACGCAGCCCAGCCATCTTTCCCCGAAACAGCCTGGCTATGTCCAGACTGCCTACTGGGAGGGATCGCAGGCCCATGCCATCACCCAGGTCATGCTGTGTGCTATGGATCAAAACCATGCTGGGGAATGTGCTGGCAGCTAAACAATGCAGAGCCCTGGCCCTGGTTTGTATCGACGGAGCCAGGCTGCCTGCTCAGACATTTCACAGACAGTTCAAATTGTGACATTTATTTGTGAAAATCTTCATAAATTTTTCTGCCAGTCTGGGTCACTTGAAAGGAGCTTGGATCCATGCATGGCACTGGCTGTGACCCATCAAAAGCTATTGCCCTGCTATTGATGAAATCCTGGTAAAATACCTAACTAAAGTTCATTGCATAACTCAAAACCAGACTGAAGGTTTGGTTCAGTCCTTCCACAGGTCCCTCCATCATGGTGCACACAGAGATTTGGCTGCAGAGTGAGAGACACTAAACCAAACACTGGCTTGCAGTAAATTACAGCTTTTCCAGTAGTTGGTGTGAAAAGAGTGAGAAGAAAGTAATTGAAAAGAAGGATATCAACTTGATGGATAGGACCAGCATCAACAGCCAGGAGCGCTCATGCAGCTTAGCTGCCTAAGTCACGTTTCTGGGCACGTGCTGATGAAGATGCTCTCTTCCTAAACCAAAGTCAATTGTAGGTGGGTCCCAGCTTCATTATTTTAAGGCCATTTATCAGCTTTTCTCAACATTTTCTTCAGGAGCTGATATTTCTTCTACAGGTGAAATGCAGGTCACTCACCATTCTGTAGCAGGGCAACATTTGTGCAATAATTAAATTGCACAATTGAATTATGCAAAACTAGGGGAAAAATCCTTTTTTTTTTCCTCCTAAGTGATTCCCCTGGAATTTCAGAACTCTAGCCAAATACAGCCAATGAGACTTATTGTGTAGTACCTCAATACAAGGCTTTAAAAGGTACCCATGTGGGGGGCAGCCTGAGGTGTGAGAATTCCCACACACACGTTGCCTAAACCGGCTTATTTAAGGTGTGGAAGTATCTCACTTTAGAAGAAACTGTGGCAAAATGTCCTCTACCTGCATAAAGAAAAAGAGAAACCTCTGTGTTTGACCGAGGTCTGCAGCCTTCCCTTCTGGTGGGCTTGACTAAGCAAGGACTGAGGCTCTCCACCCACAGTAGGGGCCTAGGAGACACATGGGCTGCGGGTCAGTCTGGCAGTGTGTAGATATCCACAGTGCAGTGAACAAGGGGCCAGGAGAAGACAGGGTACAATTCACCTGTCTAGGTCTCTACAAACCTAAAATTTCTTGCAGAAACTTACATTTAGCCAGCTGAATCCCACCCTGGATGATCAAATCACCAAGTATTTGTTTGCAGCTTTCCTTCATAAATACCTGTTTATATATTTTGATCTTCCTGTAAAAACCTTGCCACGCAAACCCATTACAGGAAACTACACTTTACTCCCAAATCATCGATACCTTTGGCTCCCAGAGCTGCCTATCCAGTCAGCTGAGTTTCTGGATCTTGCACAAACCATCTCTTCCCCACACACCTCTCCCTCTTACTTTTCCATGTAGTTGGCTGTATCCTTTCATCTCTGCTGCACGCAGCAGTTTTCCAAGCGACTGCATTTCCTTCTTCCTCCTCTTTCATTTCCTCATTAAAACCTATTTTTCCCCGAGCATCTTCTTGCCCTGACTCATCTGCTTTTGGACCCGATGCCAGGGCTTTGCAGACCAGCAACAAGCTCAAAGCCAATTGCGGGCTTCAGTTTTACTAAGGACATTGCTCAGATTAGAAATTCAGCAGGTTTTGTGTCAAAACAAAAAAGACTCAAAATGAATTTAACTTGTCCTGCCTGAAAAAGGGACAAGTTACATGTTTAATGTGCTGAGAAGTGTCAGTACGGCAGATTCTCCCGCACTACTGGAAGCACTATGGCTCAAAAGACTCCCATCTAACACGTCAGGCACAACCTACATCAAATGGGGTGTGCTAGGAGCATTTTGTTTGTAGGAAAGGAGTTCAAAGCCAGCAGCTGCTTCAGAGCAGATCCCAAGCTGATCCCAAGTTGCATTAGCTCAACCCACAGAGGCTGAAGCCCAGTGCTCCCAGCCCTCCCCAGTGCTCCCAGCTAAGAAGGGCAGGTGGAGATGATTCATTTGGAAATTAAATCTAGATGTTAATCCTCAGGACTAGCTGACAGAAGAAACAAGGAAATGGCCTGTTTTGTAGGACTTGACTAACCCTTCCCTGCTGATTCTCACCCTGAGCTGAGGCAGAGGGCATCCTCATAACAGCACTGGGGCATTCCCTGCACAATGTACACAGTGTCTTGGATGAAAAAGTCAGTGTATAAGAATACGGCATAGTACAGATTCGCTGTTCTATAATCTGTGCAATCACAAGGGCTCCCAGTTCAGAAAAAAAAAAACAACTTCATGAGGCAAGAGAATGGTTATTAATAGCCCACAGAGTCTAGCAGATTCGTTGCGTACTAAATGTCGATGACCCTTTATAAAACAAGTAACAAGAAGCCCACTCAGCTGAATTAAATGCCTTCAAAATAAAAGGCACACACCATTAAATCACAGCAGCTACTCTGGCTCTGTGGAAAAGGGAGCACACGCTCAGTTTTCTTCCCAGCCCTCAGATCTCCATCCAAATGCACAGTGAACAAAACTATACAAACTTTTCAGACACTCTATCTACAGTCACACCCACTTCTGCTACCAGAAGATATCTCAGGTGTCTCTTACTGACTGTCAGATATTTTACTAAGACTGAGCCATGTGCCTGTGGTTAATTCTGACACGGTAAATACAGATGTTGTTGTATCTATGTTGGGGGGAGAAAAAAAAAAAAGAGAGAAACTGAAAGAAAGAAACTAAGTTTCAACACACAGCCATAAACAAAACATATCTATAAACCATAGTATGTGAGAAATTTCTAACAAACTACATAGCACAAGTCTGATCCTGCTAACAAACCAACATGTGAGCAACTTTTCTTGTCTAAGTCGTCTGGCATTCAGAGTGACTTTGGCACTTGTGTGTGTTATGTGTCAAGGAATTTCAGTAAATAGTTTTTTAAAGGCTTGGCCCACTCAACAGCTGTATATTTTTCTGCTTGAGACAAGAAAATAGGTTAACAAACAGCCACTGAATTCCTCTTGGTTCTTAATCCCAGAAAACTAAATAATATTCACTGAAAAATGACCCACAGGCCAGAATAGGAAATATTTTAATAGTTCCAGATGTATTTCTTAGCTTTCTTTCCCCAGTGGTTGTATAATGAATGAGATACCTACGAAAAGTATAACATTAACCTCTGTTTCACCTTCCTGTTAGATTTCTAGCATCTGGGAAAATCAGAGGGAAGGTTTCTTAAGCCTGGGGGAATCTTTTCACATTTCTCCTGGTAATGCTAAACTGATTATATTTATGGTCGATCACTTATTGCTCTACTAGCTCATTTTTGTTTACAGCTCATCTATAGTCAGAAAGCACTTATTTAATGAAATAAAAATAAGCACTGTAGACTTTTTCTGTGGGATCACAATATCCCATTTCAACCTGTAGCTATTACAGCCCTGAGTTGTTTCTGCTCATCAGAGTAAGTAAAATACAATTAAGAGGTATCAAAGCAATATATTAAAGTCAGATGAGAGAATAAGGGATATTTGATTACCCTGCCTATCAGACAAGACTCCCAGTCTTGGTACCAACAGAATCTTCTTAAATCTCATTTGCTGGAAGGGCAGAGAGGATTTCTTCTTTTTTAGAAATATTACATATATTGTACTTAAGATTTGTAGAGTCCTGGGGACAGACTCTGAGCTGAGGTGATTTATCCTGGCTCTGCCGTCTTCACCAGAGCCCAGAGAGTTTACTCAGTTGAGCATCTGTCCCATTCTGTTTCACCATAAAGGGGAGGAGATTTGGATCAACTTTTCTGGACTTGCAGACACTTATCCAGCCAAGGCACCCTTCCTACAAACACAGCTAACCCAGTTAACAGAGAAAAATCTGACATCTCTCTCTGTAACACCAATTAAATGCTGCATTACTTCCAAATGAGAGAATGGGGAGGCAAAGGAGGGGGGAGAAGAGAGGAGGAAAAATAAAGCTCGTGGACAAGATCAGAGAGCTGAAATGCAAGGACATTTCTAGAGACTTACTGTTGCAAGCGAGGAAAGTGCCATTCGATTCCATTGCTGCAAAACAAGCCGACGTGCAGCAGCAGCAAGGGCTCCAGGAAACAGCTGTGCCCAGATGTTAGCGCTGGCCCGGGCTGGAAGCAAGACCCACGAGGCTCCCTCTTCTCTCCGCTCCAGTAATCCCCAACGTCAGCTCCCTTCGGAGAGGCCTGCTCCTTCCCCTTGGCTGGAAATGCCCTTTCGCTATGACTCCTCATTTATTTCTCTCCCGCATCCGCACGCCACCGCCTGCCCAGCGCATCGACTGAGCCCAAGCACCCGAGCCCCAGCACCGTGCTGGCCCTGGCTCCTCCCCGCTGAAATCTGGCGTCTTCACCGCTGGCCCAGCCTCCTGCATTTTGCTACCGCTGCAGCTTGACAACGATGCCTCTTTTCCTGTTGCTGGCACATTTTCACACCCCACTCCTTTCCAGCAAGGTTTCCAGAAGACACCGACTGCTGCAAATCTGTCCTTCGTGGTCCCCAAAACAAGGAAAGGGCCTTAAACAGATGCCAGTGATCAGAGTCTAGGTCTAAAGAGCTTTTAGACACTGGTGGGGGCATATTTCTTTCTGCAGGGAAAAAAAAAAAAACAGGCCAGAAATTGCCAATGTAGAAATAGAATCTGTAACCACAAACACTCACAGAAGCATGAGCTTAAAGCAGAAAAAAAGTCACAAGCTTTGCATGTGTGACACCAGTACAGAAAGCAGAAAAAACTCCACTGTCCTGAGGCTTTAACTGAATGGAACTGCTTTCTTCCACTCTGTCCCCTGCTCTTGAATTAGATACCTTTTAAGGGTGGAAAGACAATGATGGCAAACGGGGAGGGGGAAAGAAAGGGAATCCACTGTGGGAAAAGAAAGTTTCCTTCTGCTTGTATGTTT